AGGACGCTTTTCCCCAACCCCCCCCCCCCCCCCAGTGATCAGTCTGCTGCAGGCAAGAGGAAGCATTTCCTCAGTCTCTGGGTCACAGCTCTGATTTTTCGGGGGGACCCTGTCACTCACACCCTGATCACCTAAATGAATGTACACAACAAGGACACTTACCGGTTCCTTTCCACCTCCAGGATGAGTTTCCTTCCCTCCGATGTCACCAAAATCTCTCCCCGCTCCGGAGTCAGCTGCCGAGAGAAAATCATTCCAGTGAGATCCACAGTAAGGAAATAAAAACAGTGGATATAATATTGTCATAAAAGTTTTATTACACAAAACAGTATTTGTTTTTATGTATTTATTTTGCATTTGTTTTTATATACTTTAGTTACCGTGAAAAAAAGGCAAATAATCATTCCAGAAATGGAAACAACACAGGAGAAAGGACACAGATTTCTTTTTTACTTAATGTTTCATTTATTTTTCTGGAATATTTTATTATCTAATGTTTATATCCCATCACATGTCATTGCTTATCAACATAGCCATGTGGTCACCCATTCCTTCTCGTTGAGCTGAGGACCTCAATAAACAAAGCCATGTGGTCACCTTGTTCTTCTCTTTGACCTGAGGACCTAAAGAAACAAAGTCGTGCGGTCATCTAGTTTTTCTCATTGAGCTGAGGACCTGAATAAACAAAGCCGTGTGGTCACCTAGTTCTTATCATTGACCCGAGGACCTGAAAAAACAGTAATATGCTCACCTAGTTCTTATCATTGACCTGAGGACCTGAATAAACAGTCATGTGGTCAACTAGTTCTTCTCATTGACCTGAGGACCTGAATAAACAAAGCCATGTGGTCACCTAGTTCTTCTCATTGACCCGAGGACCTAAATAAACAAAGTCATGTGGTCAGCTAGTTCTTCTCATTGAGCTGAGGACCTCAATAAACAAAGTCATGTGGTCAGCTAGTTATTCTCATTGAGCTGGGGACCTGAATAAACAAAGTCATGTGGTCACCTAGTTCTTCTCATTGACCTGAGGACCTGAATAAACAAAGCCATGTGGTCACCTAGTTCTTCTCATTGACCCGAGGACCTAAATAAACAAAGTCATGTGGTCAGCTAGTTCTTCTCATTGACCCGAGGACCTAAATAAACAAAGTCATGTGGTCAGCTAGTTCTTCTCATTGACCCGAGGACCTAAATAAACAAAGTCATGTGGTCAGCTAGTTCTTCTCATTGAGCTGAGGACCTCAATAAACAAAGTCATGTGGTCAGCTAGTTATTCTCATTGAGCTGGGGACCTGAATAAACAAAGTCATGTGGTCACCTAGTTCTTCTCATTGACCTGAGGACCTCAATAAACAAAGCCATGTGGTCACCTAGTCCTTCTCATTGACCTGAGGACCTCAATAAACAAAGTCATGTGGTCAGCTAGTTCTTCTCATTGAGCTGAGGACCTCAATAAACAAAGTCATGTGGTCACCTAGTTCTTCCCATTGACCCGAGGACCTCAATAAACAAAGCCGTGTGGTCACCCAGTCCTTCTCATTGGCCCGAGGACCTGAATAAACAAAGTCATGTGGTCACCTAGTTCTTCTCATTGACCTGAGGACCTGAATAAACAAAGCCATGTGGTCACCTAGTTCTCCTCATTGAGCTGAGGACCTCAATAAACAAAGCCGTGTGGTCACCTAGTTCTTCTCATTGGCCCGAGGACCTGAATAAACAAAGTCATGTGGTCACCTAGTTCTTCTCATTGACCTGAGGACCTGAATAAACAAAGCCGTGTGGTCACCTAGTTCTTCTCATTGGCCTGAAGACCTGAATAAACAAAGCCGCGTGGTCACCTAGTTCTTCTCATTGGCCGGAGGACCTGAATAAAAAAAGCAGCGTGGTCACCCAGTCCTTCTCATTGAGCTGAGGACATCAATAAACAAAGCCGTGTGGTCACCTAGTTCTTCTCATTGAGCTGAGGACCTGAATAAACAAAGCCACGTGGTCACCCAGTCCTTCTCATTGGCCTGAGGACCAGAAAAAACAAAGTCATGTGGTCACCTAGTTCTTCTCATTGACCTGATGACCTGAATAAACAAAGCCATGTGGTCACCTAGTTCTTCTCATTGGCCTGAGGTCATGAATAAACAAAGCCGTGTGGTCACCTAGTTCTTCTCATTAGCCCGAGGTCCTGAATAAACAAAGCCGTGTGGTCACCTAGTTCTGCTCATTGAGCTGAGGACCTGAATAAACAAAGCCATGTGGTCACCTAGTTCTCCTCATTGAGCTGAGGACCGCAATAAACAAAGCCATGTGGTCACCTAGTTTTTCTCATTGACCTGAGGACCTGAATAAACAAAGCCGTGTGGTCACCTAGTTCTTCTCATTGGCCTGAGGACCTGAATAAAAAAAGCAGCGTGGTCACCCAGTCCTTCTCATTGAGCTGAGGACATCAATAAACAAAGCCGTGTGGTCACCTATTTCTTCTCATTGAGCTGAGGACCTCAATAAACAAAGCCGTGTGGTCACCTAGTTCTTCTCATTGAGCTGAGGACCTGAATAAACAAAGCCATGTGGTCACCCATTCCTTCTCATTGGACTGAGGACCTGAATAAACAAAGTCATGTGGTCACCTAGTTCTTCTCATTGAGCTGATGACCTGAATAAACAAAGCCATGTGGTCACCTAGTTCTTCTCATTGAGCTGAGGACCTGAATAAACAAAGTCATGTGGTGACCTAGTTCTTCTCATTGACCTGAGGACCTGAATAAACAAAGCCGTGTGGTCACATAGTTCTTCTCATTGACCCGAGGACCTGAATAAACAAAGCCGTGTGGTCACCTAGTTCTTCTCATTGACCTGAGGAGCAGACGGCATCCTGGGCACCAGTTTTCCGTATCTCAGGAATAGTCATGGCGCAGGTCCCCGGAGCCGTCTGCCTTTTTATAGTCCTATAAAGATCTGTGACTATTTATACCTATAAGTGTGAATGAAATGCAGAAATAACATAGTCTTCCCAAAAAACAAACCCGCCTCCCTCACCCCCTCCTCCCCCATCACTATTCAGGGAGCGTCTTGTTTTCTGTACTATTCTGGGGACCAGATGGGAGAGATTATCTAGTCTGGCTCAGAGTCTGCTGTGTGACAACATCCAGGTCCCTCCGCCTGCAATACGAGACTTCCACACAGCCAGGAACCAAGGAAGGGCTGAGATATCCCATTGGGGGGGGCACATATGTATGGGGGGGTTCTCAGCTCCATATGACAGGGGTTCAAGGGACAGGGTCACACTGAAATCACTGCTTCTCCATAGATACAGTGCAGTGACTGAGCGTTGTCACCCTAGGACAGGAAGTGTGCTACTGGCAGGATCAGCAGGTGAAAAAGAAGGTAAAATAAGGCCCGAAAATAGAAAACGAATGCAGCCACCATTATTGGTAAACTGCAATATATTATAATAT